CGGGTGGTGGCAGGACATCCCCAGACTTCCCCTCTGTGGATACTTAGGGAAAACAGTCTCCTCTAATACCACGTGTACACCAATCACACTGTGCACCTGGAGGAGTAAAACAACACATGGAAATGGGGAAGGCTAGGCTTCTAACCTTGAGAAGACAGAATGAGGAAGGCCCGGTGTCTGACGCCCCTCTCTTAGATAACACACCTGGACAGGCAGTGCACAGTGATTCGGGCCACTGCAGCATGGTCTGTCCCCATCATCAGCGGACTGCAGCAGGAGGGAGCTTGCAATGTGGCTGGACACCTGTTCTCACTCACTTGTTCCAGGCTGAGCTTTGGAAGAACTGCAAAGACAGAACCAAATGCAAACTCACTGCTACAGAATCGAGTCCAACCCATAGAGACCCTGCAGGACAGAGCAGAACTGCTCCTGGGGCCCCTGAGACGGCATCATGGGAGGAGAAAGCCTTGCCGCTTTTCCGAGGAGGGCCTGGTGGTTTGTAACCACGGCCTCTGTGCTTTGCAGCCCAAGGTGTAAGCCCCAGGGAGGGCTTCCAAACGTTTGTAGAAAAATTAACTGAGACATCATGGGACTTGCCCATAGAGTTTTGAAGCCCCTGGCCACTGTGTGTTGTGTCTACACACTTGAAGAAAAGTTCAGAGATTAGTTAGTGAGACTGAGAAAAGAGGTGGAAGTCATGGAAGCTGGTGGAGTGGGCTGCCACTTCTCCATCATGTGGGCACCCGGGACACAGCCCGGCTGAGTGTGTGTTAGGAGGGAAATAGTGTCCTACCCTACAGTCCAGTGTCACCCTTGGGGGCCATCCCGGTGCCCATGAGCTGTTAGGGCTGCCCTCGTGCCCGGGCGAGATCCCCCAAGTAGGCACACAGATCCACTCTCGAGGCTGTGGGATGGGGGACCGGGCATGCCTCCTCAGCCTGCCCTGGACTTGGCGTTCAGCCTTCCTCTGGACATTTCCTGGGACCACCCACACGCTTTCCTTCCTCGTTGTTGCTCAGAGTTTGTTTTCCAGTAGGATTAGTCTAAGAGTAAACGCCATAGGCCGTCTGGCCCTCCAAAAAGAAATGAAGAAAAAAAAATTTTTTAAAAACATTAAGAAAAAAAAAACACCACTGCCCAAACCCATGTTTCTGTGTGAGATGAAAATTAGACTCTTAAATCTGCAAAGAAATCTGTTTATCTTACAAATGTATTCTTCTGGTGGGGTCCCACAAATCCAAGATGGAAAGATGGAAGGAGGACATGTGCAGGCCACCCCTTGAGCAGCACAGCGTGGGGCCCTGCTCAGCCTGGCCATCCCCCAGCCTCTCACGCAGCTGCCTGCCTGGCCCTCTGAGCACCTGTAATGGGCCTGAGTCCCCAGGCAGCAGCCGCGCTCCATCATGGCTCCTGCCCTTCTGCCCTATAGCCACTGCTCTGCTCCTACTCGCCCTCGGGCTTCTGTGAAGGAGGAGGTCAGGGAAGGCACTCATGTACCCATCACGGAACGGGAGCTCTGCAGGAGCCAGCACCTGCCTCCCTGTATCCTAAAAGGCAGCATCTAGGACACCCCAGTCTGCCACCCCTCCAAATTTAAATGTTGCTCTTAGCTGCTGTGGACACTAACTCGTGGCCGCCTAACATATGGCAAAAGCCGTGTCACCTGCTGCCACATCACCTTCACCATCCTGTCAGAGGCCTTTGCTGCAGGTAGCTGCTCTGTCGGCCCTCTCACCGGGCTCCCCCACCAAGCATGCTTTCCTCCCCTGGGAATTGCTCCTGCTGCTGATGTGTCCAGCGCAATGTCCTATGACCCGTAAGGTTTTCCTGGGCTGATTCTCAGAAGTAGACCGAGTCGTACATCCTAGACTAGCTGAGTCTAGAAGCTCTGCTGAAACCTGTCCACCATGATGACATTTTCGGTATTTGAAATACTGGGAGCGTCCCTTTGCCATCAGAGTACCAGGCAAGCTACCACAATATGACAAAGTGAGGATGATGGGCAGTGGTCTAGTCAGGGTGTTGTAGCTATGTCCCGGAGCCCTGGCAGTATTACGGGTTCCCCGTGGGGCTTCTGCTGCCATACAGATGCACAGCCTCAGAAACCCAAAGAGGCAGCTCTACTCTGACCTACAGAGTCTCTGTGAATCGGGATGATCTCAATAGCAGTGAGGTTGTTGTTGTTGTTGTTAGCTATGTCTCAAGGAGCATGTGAGCCCATGTTTCCTTTAATCATGCTCCTGTTTGCCTTAAGCTGACTTGATGGTCCCAGCTACAAAGAAAGGTGAATAATTCTGGGAGGTCAAATCCCACAAGTTTGAGATTGTAATGGGTAGGGGACAACATCCCAGGTGTTTAGCCAAGTGGTTAGCTTGGCCATTGGTCTTCTCAGTGGTTGACACACTTCTTCTTTAAGCCAGAGGATCACCAATGTTTGGAGAGCTGACCACAACTGGTCTGGGGCATTCGCTTGTCTAACACGGCCTCCCAACTATCTCTCATGCTTGCCCTCATCCATAAGCCGCCTCTGGTGACAGTCCCGCGTTCACTGAGATGGCAGGGTGAGGTGACTGAGGTTGAGTTCTAGATGTGGACAGACCCAGCCCTTCTACCTCTGCAAAATCACGAGAGGAAACAATGGGGGATGGTGAGATCCTTTCAACAGGTCCTCTGCAGAAGGATTGAAGTGACTCAGATGGAAAGTGGAGCTCTTTCGAAGAACATCTCCAGGGCGACAATAAGATCACAGTCCCTGGTGGTGCCCATGGTTAACATGCCGGACTCAAACCACTCTCCCTGCCATTGAGTCGAATCTGATGACTGGTAACCCTATAGCACAGGGTAGAACTGCCCCTGAGGGTTTCTGGGACTGTAATTCTTTCTGGGAGTAGAAAGCCTCATCTTTCTCCTGTGCAGGAGCTGGTGGTTTAGAACTGCTGGCTTGTGGTTAGCAGTCCAACACAGAACACACTACGCCACTAGGGCTCCCCGGTAACACGCTCCACAGCTAACAGGGAAGGTGAGTCACCCAGCAGTACCTTGGGAGAAAGGCCTATCAGTGTACTTCTGAAAACCCAGCCACTGGAAATCCAACGGAGCAGAGATTCACTGACCCCCCGTGGCTGCCATGAGTCAGAGCCAACTCAACTGGTGGTGATAAGTTCAAAGGCAGAGAGGATGTTCAAGGCCAACTGGTTTCCCAACTTGTTCAGAGCAAATGGCCCAAGAAGAAGGAGATGGGTTTGCCTTCGTCTTGTTCCTGGTCTTGCAGCCGAGGCTGTTAGCAGAGGGCCCTGGGAATGGAAGCTACAGAAGAAAACCAGTATGTGTTTCCCAGGCTTGGGTATTGCCCATTGTCCTTATGGTGTCTGTGGGATGCACAGACCGCTGTGTTATCGCAGACGCTCTCCTTGTTCTCACAGTGGGGTTTTCCAGGAGGCCTAGAGAAGGGGCTGGCAAGGGCCTCAGTCCCTTCAGAAGCTGGGGTTCTGGGGCACGGCGCCACCTCCTGCTTTGTGTGTGTGTTGGGGGGCGGGGGCGGGGTGAGCAGGAAGAAAGGGCAAGTTTAGAGGGGAAGACTCCCTGGTCTTCTGACAATGCAGCCTCAACCCCTGCCATGTACCCTGGCATCTCACTGGCACCCTGTGATGCTGGGCCTCGGTGGGTCCTGCGGTAACAATAACTCCCACTGCCCCACATTGTCACAGTTTTGTGTGCCATGATGTGCCATCCCTTCTGGGTCGAAGACTGTTGTCATTGGGAGACAGCAAGTTGGTTCCAAGTCGCAGCGACCCTCTGTGCACAGAAGGAAACACCGCCAGGGCCCGCACCAGCCTCCCAGTCGCACTGACGTCTGCAGCCGTTCCTGCAGCCACGGTGTCCATCCAACTCGAGGAGGGCCTCCCTCTTTTTCGCTCCACTTGACCAAGCACGACGTCCTTCTCCAGAAACTGGCTTCTCCTGACACAGTGCGTGAGACAAAGTCTGGCCCTCCTGGCCTCTAAGGAGCATCCGGGCGTACTTCTTCCACGGTGGATCTCTGTTCTTCTGGCAGCCCACGACACTTTCGACCTTCTGCCCCAGCGCCACAATCCAAATGCCTCCCTTCTCCTCCAGCCGTCCTTGTTCAATGTCCAACGTTCACATGCCTGCGAGGCCATTGGAAATGCCGCGGCTGGGGTCAGGTCTTCGACTTCCAAGTAACTTCATTGTCTTCTGTAAGTTCTCTTCCATTTTCAAATGCCTTGTATTACATGACAAACAACAGGAAGGAAACTGCGTGTTGATACCTTCCAGGGGGAACATTTTCAACCTACCACACCAAGATGTCACTGCAAGGCTCAACGTCTCTGGGAGTTCTGCGGCTGAGTTTCCGCCTGGGACTTTGACTCTGTCCCTCTCTGTTTATCATGGTCTAATTGTGGACGCACATTTCCAGACTCTTTCGTGAGATTACGCCAGCCAGCGATGGGTATCAGACTCAACACTGGAGAAATGATCCGTTTGGGATAATTTTCTCTCCTGTCCCAAAATAGCATGTCGTGGGGACAAAACCAAGACATCTTGTATGTCCCTGTTTCTTGCTTGATATCATGCAAATGTGACTTCGAACCTGCCGTGAACTCTCCAGCAAGTGAATATTATAAATTAATCTGATCCAACAAACACCAACATTTCTTAAACTTTTGGGGAAAAAATATTTAATAGGAGCTAAGCAAAAGAAGAAATCAAACCAGCTGCTGACACAGCTGTTTCTTCTCTTGTTTAATTCAGTTCAATATAAAGGTACCATATGCTGCTTAAAATGATGAGAGGAAAGATGAAATAATTTAAGAGAATAACAAGAAAATACATGAATTGTCAGCATTCTGTCAGATTTAAAGAATGAAATAGACAGGTGTAGTATTGACGTGTTTAGCTTTATGTGGCGTTAGCAGTTTTGGTGTGAACAACTTCTGACATGTGCTGAAGTGATGTGGGAACACTTTTCTCCACTGCAGACATTGGCGAGGAGGCTGGGAGACCGGCCGGCATCCAGCAGCCAGCGCTGCTCCGGGACCGGAGCCTGGGCTCAGCCATGAAGGACTGCCCTTACTGCGGGAAAACGTTCCGGACGTCACACCACCTGAAGGTCCACCTGCGGATCCACACAGGTGAGAGGTTAGCTGTGGCTGGGGACCCAGCTGCCAGGATCCACTCCCAGCTCTGGGGCCGAGGCTCTCAATGCTGTGACCTACCGTGCCGTATGGGTGGTCCCTGCTCCTGGCAGCCACACGCACAGTAGGCCCTGGCCATCCCCGTGAACCATCGGGCTTTCATTAGCAGAGTTTCAGAACTCCATCGCCAGGCCTTTCTTCCTCGCCTTGGTCCAGAAGCCCCGCTGCAACTCGATCAACCTCACAGGATCACTCCAGCCTTCCCTGACTCTGGCGGGAGGCTGTGCTGGAGGGACGCTGGCTGGCCAGGAATCAGAGCTGGGTCTCCTGCCCATGAGGGGCGAACTCCACCGTGAACCACAAATGGTCCAAAGGCCATCTCTGAAATTAGAGAGACCACTGCCAATGATCGGATTCCGACTTCCGGTGATGCCCGAGGACAGGGGAGAGCTGCTTGTCAGAGGTTGTCATGGGGCCAGGCAGCCTCATCTCTCTCCGACACAGAAGCGGCCGGGCTCGCAGCACCAACCTTGCAGGCCAGTGCTTAGCCCATTGTGCCACCGGGGCTTGTAGGAAGGTCTCAGAAGGCCTGTAGCCGTAGGTCCGAACACTTACGGATGTCTTCCCACGGCATCACTGCACATCTGGACACAGATGCCAGGTGGCACCTGTCTGTGAGCATGCAGCCTGGTCTCTTAGAGGGGCTGCCCCAGGCCAAAGGGGAGCCGGGACAGGGATAGTTAGGTTGCACTGTTCTTCCAGTGCACCCTGTCTGTGTGAGCCTGGTCCCTCAGCTTGGGCTGGAGGGCACTGCTTCCTGGTCTGGTCTGAAGCAGCCCCTTCCCCAGCGCTGTGCTCAGTGCAGGCTGCCTGGTGTCCCTGACAGGCAGCTCCCCTAGGGGTGCCACCGGGCTGACTACCCTTAAACACATACCTCCATGCAGTCCAGGGGGTGGCTGTCCTCCACTGTCCTCCCAAGAAAAATGGGAGTGCTCATACCCAGCCTGGGCACACTGGTGCTGGACCCCACTACCTAGCTGGCTGGCATTGCCTCCCAGGCTCCTGCCTCAGCCCTCAGGCCCTCGTCTGGCCATTCTGCTTGTTGCTTGGACACTGCCGATACAAATAATAATAATAATAATAATAATAAAAGACGCAAATGTATCTACGACACGGACACCTCCATTTTCTTTGATTTTTCTCCTGACACTTTGTCTATTGGCGTGTGAGCTGCTTCAGAGGATGGACAAATAAGCCATCTATTTTCAGAAATAATTGTCATCTGTTTCCCTCGGAATCAATACGGCACAAGGCTGTGCAGGCGGCCCCTGCACATTGCCTGCCAAGGCTGGGTGCACTCACCTGGCACCGCCCCTACACACAGGGAACTGTGGGCCTCACCTGCCATCTGTGTGCTTACCCCTTCCTCACCCTGGAGCATGCTCCCACCCCATGGAGTCAAGGAGGGGTCCCTCGAAATGACAAAGCAGATGACATTTTCTCACAGAAGGCCAGCCTGCCTCCAGACCCCAGCTCACCACCCTTTTCACCTTCCTCCATCTCCTCTCGCAAGCCCACTAGTCTCCTTGTTGCTCCTGAACACAGATGGTCTGTGCTGGAGGATGTTGGCACTGCCAGTCCCTCTGCCAGGGATGTTCTTCCTACATAGGGTCTCCCTGCCTCCCAAATCTAACTGATTCTCCTGGTCCCTGCTCCATTAGTTGCATAAACTTTACAGTTTCTGCAACAATCTTGTTTTGTTGGATGGTTCTCTTCTCATACTTGCTTCCCACTAACAAGCATTTGCGGGAGGGGAGGGCTGCCTCACTGCCTGTCAGCCGGCCCCCAGGCCCTAGGCAAGCATGTCCCTGAGGTAGGCGCACAGGACCGTGTGGGAAAGGCTGAAGGAAGAACAAGGAGCCGCCCAATGAGGCTTCTACCTTTCCCCTAGAGAGCTCAGCTGGGGGGACCATGAGCCTTGCCCAAGGCACCTGTGGCATTTTCTGAAGGGCAGGGCCCGTGCACCCATTGGAAGCCATAGTCCAGCAGGGGTGCCCGACTCCTTCATTTCTGGGTGCAGGTGCAAGACCCAGGGAGCTCAGGGAGCCCCTCATTCTGAGCCCTGACCTTGGCGCTCTCTGCCAGGTAGAGTCTGGCGTGACTCCAGACTGGCATGACTCCATGGGCTTGGGCCCGTGCCCCCATTTTCATGGGGTCTCCCTTCCCACCTAGAGGTCTGTGCCCCACCGCTCAGCCTCTCCTCCTCTCTTCCTCTGCTTCCTGGTCTCTGAAGTACTCACCCCAAGCCGGACCATCATATGTTGGGGTTTTGTTCTTGTCTGCCTCTAAGCAGCCACATGGGAGCCTCTGAGCACATGGGCTGCTGCCTGATGGCCCGGGGGCCCAGTTCCCACAACTCGGACGGGCACACAGTAAGAGCGCAGCAAGCCTGTGTCCGATGACTGATGGACTGACTGGACTAGTGAACATGATCAGACCTGGAGGGCAGGGGTCAGCTTTCACATACTGTCCATGTTCTAGCCCAGGTTGGAGCTGGGGTTCCCTTGGTGGTGGGGGATCTGTAGACTACCAGGTCATACCACAAGGTCCAAGGGCGCTTCCCATTGGGCTGCCCTCTGGGGTGGATATCAGGGATGTTCTGTGAATACGAGGCATTTATTTTACCGGGGTCAGTCAAAATGTATTGCTAGGGGTCCCTCATCAACCAAAATGTCGAAATGTGAAGCGATTGGTTCCCAACAGCTCCTCCATCTAAGTCTATATGCTTTTGCGGCCATTCTTTCTCTCTCTAGCCCTGCCCCATGGGAGAAACACGAGGCTTTCTGCTCCCCGAGAGGAGTTACAGTCTCAGAAACCCACAGGGGCTGCTGCTCTATCCTATTAGAAAGGGCCACTGTGGGTCGGAATCTACTTCATGGCAGTGGGTTTGGAACTTTGCCCCATGCACGAGTTAAAGCAGTGGAGGGCAAAGCTGTCACTTTGAAGGGTGAGCCAAGCCATGGTATTTTCAATGGCTTCACGTTCCTGTGACTGAAGAAAACTGCAGAAGAAGCGATGTCCTGGAGATGTGGTGTTGGTGAAGAACAGTGAAACCCCAGGGACGGCCAGAAAACAAAGACATCTGTCTTAGAAGAGGTGCGACCAGAATGCTCCTTAGAGGTGAGGCTGGTGAGATGTTGTCTTCCATGCTTTGGACGTGTTTTCAGAAGACTGCGGTCCCTGGAAAAGGCCATCATGCTTGCTAACGGAGAGGGCAGTGACCCAGGGGAAGGCTTGCCACAAGATGCTCTGACAGCGTGGCTGCCACCATGGGCCTGATCGTAGGAACCACTGAGGGTGGTGCAGGACCAGGCAGTGCTTCGTCTTGTTGTGCACAGGGTTGCTAAGAGTTGGAACGGACTCGATGGCACCTAACGACAGCCAGGACAGCAACGATGACAGGGTGGCACAGGCCTGGGCAGTAGTTTGCTCTGTGGTACCCAGGGTCCCTATGAGTCAACACCAAGTCAACAGCATCAAGCAACCAGAACAGCAGCAGCCTCGCCCGCAGTCTGAGCTCTTCCATGGATACTGTGTGGAGACGACACTTTCAACATCCCTGAAAGGCTCCTGTTGTGTCTGGAGGTCTTTGAGTTGAGGGAACCGAAGCGTTAAGATGGAGTTGTAGGGTGGGGGGGTTGAGTGCACCCTAGAGCATTCTCCAGGGACAGCCCTCACCCGCCTTGAAGAACGAGCAGGTGTGCTGTAGTGATGGAGACTGTCCCGCCGCCACCTCCAGGGACTTTCACCACGGCAGCTCTCCTGGCCGAAGAACCCTTCGCGATGGTCCTGTTTCCTTGGAGAAAACGCCCCAAACTGGTGCCTTGGCCTTCTGAGCTACCCTCTCTGTCGTGAACATACCTGGCCCAGCAGATGCCCTGGGAAGCGGCTGTTTCAATGGGACCTTTCTTTGGAAAGAGGCAAATGTTGTCTGCAGCAGCGCACTGAGGGCAGAGACTTGTTTAAACGAGCTTGCGTGAATGGAGCCCCCGGAGCTGCGCTCCGTGACAGCATGCAGTCGGGCACAGTCTCTCGGCCCGGCTTCCCAGGTAGGTGGTGACTCACCTCAGCAGCAGGAACACACCTGGCCGGGTGGCCTGGCAAGACTTGATAGATGCTAAACGTACTCTCGCTGTCGTGGTCCTGAGGGTGGCAAACACACTTCCGACTCATCATGCCCAATAACCACTGTGCTGGAGACATGGTGAGCGGTAAGACAGGGCCAAAGACACAGGCACGCTAGAAGCTTCTCAGAAGATGCCATGGAAATGCCCCACCCTCAACAGCAGCATTCGCCTCGTTGAAAAGGCAGAATGGTACCCAGATAAAGATCAATTTTCTTTTTATCTAAGAACAAAGAAGTTGGAAAATGCTGACACCCATGTGTTTGAATAGCTCAGAAAGTGTTACATGTTTAAAACCACCAAAGTAAACATCAATTATGACAATGTAAAAACTGTAGATTACATGAGTAATTAAAAATCAAAATCAAGTTATCTGTTAATCAGCGATTTAATGCAGGGCTCAGACTGTTGTGATGTGCCAGGCTGCCTTCCCCCACTTCCTCCGCTTTCGTCATTCCAAATGGCCTGGTGGCTAGAGCAAGTGGCCCATGGGATACGATGGCTACTTCCCCAAAGACCCTGTGGGGCAGCTTTTCCACTGGGAACGCATGAGCGGTCTAGTGGGTAATGTGTGTCCATTGTCCGAGGCGTTTCACACACCATCTTTATTGGGGTTCGCAGTTTAGAACATTGATGGGTAGAAACCACACTCCATCAATTTCTCCACAGCATCAACTCAGTCCCTGCCCTTCTCCCCGCACCCAGGTGTCAAAGAGAGGGATTGGGGAGTGCTGCCCATCAGGCTTTTGGATACTGAAGGACAGGGCAAGGCTGTTAGGCTAAGCTTCAGCCAGACGCATGGCTGTGGTGGACAGTGCCCCCTCAAGTTAGATACCGGAGGCTGCCTCACCTAGCTCCTGACAGGGAAGGACCCTGCCCACCCACGGCCCTGCCCTTCTTGTTGAAATGCTGTAGGCATTCCTTTGGCCTACCTGTGTGATTTATCATCTAGAGCAGGCGCCATAATTTGAATTCATGCCACATGGCGAGGAACTGAACCAGCAAGTACTTAGGCATAACATACCTCGGGGGCAGGCAAGGGTATCCCCACCAGATCCTCCACAGCCCCACAGCCACTCCCGGGCCTCTCTGTTCCTGCCCCTCCTGCAGACCCCCCTTGGGGATTGAATACCTGGGCCCATGTACCAGAAGCAGGTAGGTGCTCAGTCCTGGGGTGGCTGGAGTAGCTGAGCTCCCCAGAGAAGCTCCCGATGGCTATAAAGCCCCTGTGCTGGTCATGGGACTCCAGTCTGTGGGCTCCCTCAGGGGTTCACCTGAGTGTTCCCCCATCAGGCCTGTTGTCTCCAGGATGACCATTGTGGGGAAATGTAATAAGTGCACACACTGAGGCAAACTCAGAGGCGTGACAGTTCAGGCACTAATTACACCTAAATCTCATTAGCTTTCCCCTCGTCTTCACGCGAAGCAGGTGATCAGTTTATGGATCCACGATGCTGTGCACCACACCTGGGCCCTGGGTTAGGACCCTGTGGGGTGGCCGTGCACAGGTGGTGTTAGTGAGTGGAGGTGAGCTGGCCTTGGCCTGGGGAGCCTGCCCAGCAATGCCACACCTCCTGCGGGGTGGACCCTGGTCACCAGGAGCCCTGTGTCACGTCTTTGGGGGGAACAAAGAGGACTGTGGTCATTGTCTGCAGGGGAGTGGGGGTGGGATTGGAGCCTTCTAACTGAGGCTCAGTCTGCACAGGCTGAGGCCAATGGCCAAAGACAGATGCAGCATCATTACTGGAAGGAGAGACCCGCCAGGTGCGCTCAGGTGGGCCGCCAGGCAGAAGGTGCCCTGCGTGCAGCCTGCAGGAATCTCCGCTCAGCTCCCAGCCCACCACCCACTGCAGAGGAGGGCTCCGTGTTGGACGGTGGGCTGGAACTGAGATCTGCTGAGCTCGCAATCCAGCCCTCTTGAGGACCGCACGGTGTTGCTACTGTTACTTCTCTGGGGGCGTTTGGCTTGTTGAGGGAATTAACGCAGCCTTTCTTTGACAGTGGGTGCCCACCCCGTCCCCAGCAGGAGGAAAGGAAGTGACAGGCACCCACACGCAGTGCTGACGCAGCCTCCCGGCGACGTGAAAGGGAAGTACTGTGCATCGGCGGTCCTCTTTACCCCCAGCCCGACTCTGCAACCCTGCCTGCCTCCGTTTCTCCAGGCGCCATAGGCCAGGAGGGTGGCATGCCAGGGCCATGGGTGCTGAGACAGGTGGCAGCCCCCGACTGTTCTCCCCCCACCTCCATGAAAGGTGTGGTGCAGTCCCTTAGCTGCTGGCTTCGGAGCTCAAGCTTCCTGGGGGAGCTGACTTTCATCTGCAGAGGGTCCCCCACCCCACAAGGGCCTGGTGTATCACTGCAGGTGGAAATGAAAGTCTAGCCCCATCCAGGTGGCCCCCACCCTGTGTACACCGAGTGGACCGGTGATGCGCAGACCCATCCTCTTCAAGAGGAGCTAAGAGGCTGTCCTCTCATTCACAAGAGCAGATTCCATGCGTTTAAAAAGTGGATGTTAAGCCTTGCACTACTTGCAGGTTCTTACAAATAATAATGATGCTAAGACAAGAAAAAAGAAGCTTGCGGTGGAATAGCCTCAGCTTAGGGGTGGGGGAGCCACGGGAGAAAAGAGCCAAATGCAAGCAAACCCGGAGGGTTGCCTGCCCACATGGAGATGCGTTTGTTTCCCCACCTCCCTTGTGCCTTTGGGTTCTGGTTGGAGATGCCCCATGTCACGAGTTCTCCGATGAACTGAACACCCTTCTTCTTCCTCCACAGCCCTCACCCCTGCCCTTCCAGCCTTCCCGTTGCCCCAAACTTTGGTTGAAAATAATGGATTAAATTTAAATTTCCTTAAAAGTTTAAGAGGTAATGTTACAGTATAAATTTCCTCCCAAACACTAAGTAGGGAAATATCCATTAGTGAAATTAACTACAGTTTCTAGGTAGCTAACAACGTGCCGTATACAGTAGGGCATGGCTAATGAACACTGCAGTGGGTGATATTTCATTATACAAATTAATGCTCACATTTTAATGGGAAAGTCACATAATGAATCTCGGCTTCAGTGACAGCAATTAGAGACACAGATTGTCCCCTTCTGGACAAGGCACTGTTTAGCAATAAGCAGCTGTGTGAGAAGTCTTCAGGTTTACAGCATCTAGATGCTTTGGGGGAATTAGCGTACAATTTATATTAATGTACTGAAGCTTCGCCGCCAAGGCCCCACCATATTTCTCTCTCCTGGTAGCAACGAAGTAAAGATGGGGAGAAAGACTATATAAATATCCGATCGAGGATGCAAATACAGGGAGATATTCAGTTCCTCAAGTTAAAAGTGAGCACACTTCTGGAGGTTTAGAAAAAAACAAAACAACAACAAAAACAACACCTGGAAGCACGTACTGCCTCTGAAAAGCTTCACGGAGGCCGTTCCAAGGAGACTCGTGCAGATGCACCTGTTCTTTGCCGAGAGGCGCTGGTAGGAGTGGGCTCTGACTAGCTCTGCAGGTCTCCCTGGACAAGTGAGGGACCCTCGGGTGGATCCAGTGCAGAAGGACCAAAGACATAAACCTGTGCAAATGGGTGCGCTGAACTCACTAAGCCACCTGGCCTTGTGTTTCTAAAGGAGTGTGAAGTTGTCAGCATTCCAGTGTTGAATCTGCATCTATGCAGACGCTGCTGGAAAGCTGGGTCCACGTGGGGTGTTTCAGTTTATTTCATTCGTCTGTTGGAATAAGGAACTGATGCTTCCAACATTTTATCAGGCATTTCGGAGTAAAGGCCTCTTGTCTAGAGATGCCTGGCTTTGGCCCACATCTTATTCCTTTCATCTAGCTGTCATGTCTCCCCAGTTGAGGCCACCAGGGCTGGTTTCAGTCTGGCCCTGACCCAGACTGCAGGGAGGGGACAGCGGCCCTCTCGCTATTCCAAAGACCTGTGAAGGAGGCGCCGGCATTTCAGCATGGAGGACTGTAAGTGGAGCTCTGGATAGGAGGCTTTTCTGCAAAAGCCAGAGGGCCGGACATCCGCCATTCACTGTCTTGGAGAGACGCCGGCCCCTCCCCTTTCTTGTCCCGCTCCGCGGATGTCTGTGCCAGTGGTGCCCCTACAACAGGCAGGTGCAACGTTCGCAAGCCCCGCACATCTGCAGAGGGACCTTGGAGGTGGTGGAGGACTGTGGCCCCTGGAAGCGTGGGTCGGTCAGTTTACGTGATTCCCCCAGTAGATTTGGACTCGTTTATGGTCTAAGTGGCCAATCGCTCAAGTAGACAGAGCAACTGGCAGGCTGCACAGGGAAGGCCCGTTGGACAGGGCTCGGCGAGCTCCCTGCCTCTCCGTCCTTGGCAGCAAGGGCTGGCGATGCCCTGTGCCTGAGGCTTGCTGTTGCCAGCCCGGATCAGAGCTCTCTGGGGGTGAAAATGTGCGTTCCAGCTTGGCAGATCCACAACCAGGGGGACTCCACAGCTGACATCCGGCAGTGGCAGGTACCTCAGGGCCCCGGGAAATCACTGATGTTGAGTTTCTCCTTCCACCCATCCCGGGTGGGGGCTGGGAGGTGTTCACCTGCCCAGCTCTCTGAGAAGTGCCCTCCAGGAAACGCACACTTGGGAGACAGCTGGGAGATTCCCATTGGGAAATGAAGCTCTTGGGTCATTTGCAGGGATGGGGTGGGGTGGGTGGGGGTGTCTCAGGAGGCTCCCTCACACATGAGACCAGGCCCCAATGTACCTGGCCAGACATCCCCCCCCCCCCCCCTCACCACCACCACCACAGGGCCGAGCTCCAAGGAGGTTCCCAGGCCAGCTGAGCAAAGGCATGATGCGAGAGAATCATTATGAGAGTTTAGGGTCTTACAAAGAAAACAAAGCCCAGGACTTTAACAACCACCACAAGTGCAGACATTTATCCCAACGATAAACTCAGGGCATTGATCTGGGGACCTGGGCAGTCCAGTAGGTCTCTTAGGAATTCGGGAATGGAGTAGGCAGACGGCATGCTCAGTTTGGGATTTTTCAAAGCAACCTCGTTCCCAGTGCCCATGCCTCTGTAGACGTAGACAGCAGTGGAGATGGTCACCGGTGGTGAACGAGAGCAGATGGCCCTTCTGTTCCCGAGCAGTGGAGGCCATGGTCTGGTGGGAACTTTACTAGAGCAGGGGGTCAAGAGAAGGTTGTGAGTATGTTGGCCTCCCCAGCCCTCCAGGGAAAGTGTGGTTGGGGGACAGCTTGGAGGCTGCCAGGGGGAAATGAAGCCCTTGAGCTGGTTGGAAGTCCTTTGGAGAGCTATCCCACACATGTGGCCAGCCCTTGAGTTTGCTTGGCCTGGCATGCACCCCACAGGCTGAGCTCCAAGGACTTGTGTGTGTGTGTGTGTGTGTGTGTGTGTGTGTGTGTGTGTATTCCCTGGCTTGAATAATCATATGAGGTGTCTCCTCAGAGCAGAGGCCTGACTCCTGGTTCTTCCTTTTACCTCAAGGGCCAAGAGCATCCTGGGAGGTCAAGGTGGTCCTTCATGTATGGGGTTGCCATGCAAACAGACCTGCACATCTTTAGGTGCGCACATCCATTTGTGTGTCACACACCTGTGTCTCTGACCCCATTCAAGAGAAACGGTGTTTGAGATTAGCCCGAGCCTTTGAGGGACATGAGGCCCAACCTTCCCACTGGCAGCCCGAGGACACAAAGGCTTCAGGGTAGGCACTTCTAGGTAGCACGGCATCCCAGTTCCTCAGTCTGGGCTCTCAGACCCCTTCCTGGTGGCCAGGCTGCCTCCCTAACAAGTCATCATCCACCACCTATCCCACAGGCTACTTACTGCCCAGGTAGGCTCTAGGCCACGGGTTCTCAACCTTCCTCATGCTCAGACTCTCTAATACAGTCCCTCATGTGTGGTGACCCCTCAACCATTAGATTATTTTCCTTGCTATTTCGTAACTGTAATTTTGTTACTGTTATGAATCGGGCGACCCCTGTGAAAGGGTCATTTGACCCCCAAAGGGGTCGAGATCCATAGATTGAGAACCACTGCTCTAGGCAGTGAGGGGGGTCACCCGGGGACTTTGAAAATTCTGAGTGCTCAAGCCGAAGCCAAACACCAAGCACTGTGCCCTGCAGTCCATTCTGGCTCATAGTGACCCTCTAGCTAAAATTATAACTTAAATCACAGCCACTGAGGCAATGCTGACTCATAGAGACTCTACAGGATCGGGTAGAACTGCCCCGTGAGTTTCCGAGAACAGAATTGCTTTACAGGAGTAGAAAGCCTCATCTTACTCCCTTGGGAGTGGCTGGTGATAACACTGACCTTGTTAGCTAGCAGCCCAGGGGAAAGCCACTTGGCAGCCAGGCTGCCTTAGTGCTCAGGTCACACATTGATAAATTAGAATTCCTACGGGTGGGACCAAGTAGTAACTTTGTTTTAAAGTCCCCCACCCTGGTCTTCCCACCTGTGGCTTCTTTACTGCCTTCATGGGAATCACCAGGCTGCTGGTGAAAAAGTGCCAGCCTCGATTTGGTGTTCAAAACCTAGTGACGAGGAACATAACTAATGCAATGGGTGTCGGAGCATTGGTACAGTGCAACATGTTGAATCGATAAAAGTTATTCTATATATATATATAATATATATTATATATATATATCCACACAGATCAGATGTATGTGTGGACATGTTGTAAGGCAATGCTTCTAAAAAAAGAAGTACACGCGTGCACACAAGAGAGAGAGAGAGAGATTTAGCCCCACCCCAGATCTAGGAAATCAGAGCCAGTCTGCATTTTAGTAATCCTCCTGGATGATGTTAAGGTACAATGCAGACTGGGGATCACTACCTTAGTGTGCATTCCAAAGGACTATGTCTTGGGAGACATATGTATGTCCAGTGGGTACCACACAGGCCTGCGGAGAAAGTCTACATTCCCCAGGGGAAAAAATACACATGTATGCACAACACACATATGACTGGGTCCTGGCGGGGTGAGAAGTGGGTTTGCCTATGGTTCAAGCCCTCTAGCTGCCCTGTGGGAGGAAGCTGAGGCTGGCCTCTCCGTGCAGCTTTACAGATTGGAAGCCCTGTGTAGGGTCCCTGTGAGGCAGAGTGGACTCACTGGGTGGTGGGAGGTAAGGAATAGCCGTGTTTTCTCTACAAACCTTGGGCCAGATGCACATGATCTTTTCCAGATGCTTCTCCAAAGGGAGCAGCTGGGAGGCTTGAACTGCTGCCGACCTTTCGGTTAGCGGCAGAGTGCTTTAGGCTCTGTCCGCCTAGGGCCTGGTGGTCACCTTTGCTGGGCTCCCCACAGAGCTTGTGGGCCAGGATCCTGAGCATTCCTTCCAGGCATTCCACCTGCATGTCCTCTAAACTTCAGGGACTGCTGCTGTGTCTGGCCACTGGGCTTCCCTGGGGAGCTGAAGAGGCCAGGACACTTGGATACCTAGAAGTTGCCATCCCAGGACTGTTCCTGTGATGGATTTTTGGCCTGCAGGGTGGGTGTCCACATAGCATGGGATGAAATGAATTCGAGTCCAACCCAGGGATCAATGAATTCCAAAATGTGGGAAAGCAGTGGGTTTCTGAGCCCCTTTGAACATGTACCTCAAAGGAAACAGCCCTTTCCTCGTGGATCCTTGGCAGTGGGCTCACCGGAGAGGGCTAGGACCTGCAGGTGCAGAGCAGCGAGGTGCTTAGGTGGGTCCCATACCAGGCTGATGGCCTTGTCCAAAGGACTAGTCACAGGGTGTCTCAGTTCTGAAGCCGAGGAGCCCTGGCCACCACTTTGATGAGGCAGGCATCAGTCTCCAAGATCCTGAACGCAAACCAGAGATGGCATGCGGGCCCGTCCTCAGAACCTGGCCTGGTGCTCCCCTTGTTTCCCCAGAAATGCCCTCTGCCCGAGGCCTGGGCATCAGCTCAGGTTAGCCAATGTCTACCCGCTGTCAGATCTGACTCCAGGACAGGGTAGAACTGGCCCGCAGGGGCTGCAAGGCTGTCATCTCTGCAGAAGTAAGTTGCCTTCTGTCCTTTTGTCATGGAGCATCTGCGCGGTTTGAACTACTGACCTTCCAGGTAGCAGCCGAGTGCTTCAAACCACTGCTGCACCAGGGAGCCTTCCGTGAAGAGCAGACACAGTAAAGTGCTTTCAGAATGCACCATTCACCAGTGGCTTGCCTTGCTTTTTCAAACCAGTCCATTCTGCAGTGGGATAACAAACCGAGGCGGGTGGGAATAGTCATGCTTCCTGGGAGAATGCGCTGTGGATACTGACAGGATGTTCTTGTGGATAAACGAAAAGGGGTCACTTCCAGGAGCTTTTTGATCCCAGAGCTTAAAAAAGGACTGCTTGGAATCTGTGTAGAGCTGTATTTCTTTACCATCCCACCCGCCCCTCTCCTCTATCCCACGATGAGGGCAGATGCAGTTGTATGTTAGGGTCTGGTTTCCACCCGAGGCAAGAAGAAGAATAGAAGTCGGGGGCGGGGGGTGGGGGTGGGGGTGGGGGTGGTGGGGCTGCATTTAAATAAATATTTAATTTGGGAAAATTATCTTATATGTTTTAAAACACGCTTTAAAGCTATTTTTATTCTCCAGAAAGTGCTTATTATAGGTAAATTACACATTTTACTACCGGTGCATTCGGTTTGCCATTAGTAGAAATTTAAGGCAGTACAAAGACCAGTAGATAATGTTAATTTCAAATACAGAAACTAAATATATTTTGTGCCTTTTTATTACTCGTTTTCTTTTAAGTTTTATTGACTGCTTTTTCTCTTAACTATATGTCTTTACATGCTGCAATCATAATGCACTGTAATGGTATTAATATTTTAGAGAATCGGTATTTATAGTTCTTTATTTAGGAACAATGCAGTAGGTCTGCAGATATCTGAGCCCGTCTGGAATGGTGCCCTCCAAATAATGATAAATTACTTGTGCAGTATGCCATTTGCTAATTATATCCATGATTTACTGCAGAGCAAGACTTAAATCATTCACTTCAGTCTTGCGTAACACTGCCATAAAATTTTTAGGTTTAAAAATGGTTTCCATGTGTATAATTTAAACAAATTTTCGAGCTATTGTATACACAAAATATTGTAGCCACCCATTTGTTATGTACTTTGTCTTTTTAAACTTCTACTTTTAATGATCACTGTGGTTGAAATTATTATGCTTAATTTTCATAATCATAGCTTTTAAATCTACAGCCATTTTCACATGTTAGATAAAGAAAAAAGATAGCTAATTGTGTGTAGATAGTATGTCAGTCCTGAATAGTCCCAAATGGTACAAAATCATTAAAAAAGCTTAAGAGTACGAATTATTCTTCTATTAAAAAACAGTTGTTCTCTCACTAATTATTAGTTTGAACTGCTTTGTTTCAAAGAACAAATGTTGATCCTTCCAGCCTTGTTCAGCACACCAAAATGAGATAAACACTTTCCCTCCCTCCCTCTCCTTCTCTCCCTCTTTCTCTCTCTCTCATGAAAATCTGCAGGTGAGAAACCCTACAAATGCCCGCACTGTGACTATGCCGGTACCCAGTCAGCGTCTCTGAAGTACCACCTAGAGAGACACCATCGGGAGAGACAGAACGGGGCTGGGGCTCTGTCTGCGCAGCCCTCAAGCCAAGACCACAAGGATGAAATGTCCAGCAAGGCATCCTTGTTTATCAGACCAGACATCCTCAGGGGTGCCTTTAAGGGCCTCCCTGGCATCGACTTTCGAGGGGCCCCTGCCTCTCAGCACTGGACCTTGGGAGTGCTCTCCGGAGACCATTTGGGGCAGGCCACGGGCATGTCCTCCGAGACACCGTCAGATCCTCTGAAAGGTGCTGCCCTTCCTTCCAAAAGCCCCCACTTCTCTGAAATCGGAAGAGCCTATCAAAGCATGGTGGGCAATGGGGTGAATTTCCAAGGGTCCTTACAAGCATTCATGGACAGCTTTGTCCTCAGCTCCTTGAAGAAGGAGAAGGACATGAAGGACAAAGCCCTGTCTGAGCCGCATTCCATGAAAGCTCACGGGGCAGAGGGTGGCGAGGAGAAGCCTAGCGGTAAACCCTTACCGAGGAAGTCGGAGAAGTCTCAGTATGAGCCTCTGGACTTGTCTGTGAGGCCCGATGCTGCCGCCCTCCCAGGCTCCTCGGTGACTGTCCAAGACAATGTGGCATGGCATGCCTGCTTGTTTTGCTCTTTCACGACGTCCTCCATGGAGCTGATGGCCCTTCACCTCCAGGCCAACCACCTCGGCAAGGCCAAACGCAAAGACAATGCCCTGGGGCCACCCATCAATTGCAAAGACCCAGCCAGGACGGGCAGCAAAGTGGCGCAGCTGCCCACGGCACAGTCAAACAAGGAGCTGGGCCTTTCCCACACCGTGGGCCTGCTAGACTCTGCTTCCGAGAAGATGGCCCCAGGGCAGGTCAAGGAGCCCCTGGTGGAGCCCAAGAACAGCCCTTGGTCTGGCCCCGTCGACCCTGCCTTTTGCAACTTCCCGTCAGACTTCTACAAGCAGTTTAGTGTTTATCCGAGCCTGGCCGGCTCGGGAGCCTCCAGCACCTGCCCCGGCAGCGAGCCTGATGGGAAGGCCCACCCAGAAGATGACGCCCCCATCCTGATCCCTGAGAACATGACCAAGACCGTGACTGATGACCTGTCCGACGTGGCTTCTTCAGAGGACATGGACTCCTCCAAGGGCGAGAACAATGAAGAAGACGATATTGACACTGAACCCGAAATGATGACCAAGCCCCTGTCTACCCTGAGCAAGGACAGCGGCAGTGATGGAGGGGACAGTCTGCTGCCCACGGGGACCCCCCAGCCCAACCAGGGACTCATGTCACCTTTACCCCAAGCATCGGAGAAGCAGTGGCACAACCCCAGCCTCCTCCCAGCCCAGGAGACCTCTGTGGGCCTGCCTAAGCCGGAGCGGGGGCCCCTGGGCCTGGAGAAACCCATGAACATGCTGTCGGTCCTCAGGACCTACAGCGCCGATGGCTTAGCAGCCTTTAACGGACTTGCAAGTAGCACATCAAATTCTGGATGTATCAAGAGGCCAGACTTGTGTGGTAAGTTTTAGAATCCTCTTCTTTCAGTTCATTTCCCCCAGCAGCAGTGCTGAGTTGTGCATTTGAAAATACCACCACCACCACCACCACCACCACCACCACCACCACCACCACCACCACCACTACCACCACCAGTGGGGAAACATCCATTAGACAAGTTTGAGATAACCATGAGAAAGGCACTGCTGTGTATGCAATAGAGACAATCATGGAAACTCATTTCATTTCGAAGGTTTAGAAATCATACTTTTGTGTTTCATTCGCATCATGATCAACTGAAATGCCTGAAAAGTGGGGTGGGGTGGGGTGGGGGGCAGCGTATCACAGTGTGAAGGAGTCCTGTTTAAAAAAAAATTTTTTGAGGAAGGGGAATTTGGCAGGGGGGAGGAGGGGGCAGACCAAGAAGAAATCCGGTGACTTGCAAACATTTCAGTATTTTCCACTTATGCATAAGACACCCAAAAGACAAGCCCTTCATGCTTCGCTAAGCCAAATCTGCTTTCTTGAATGTTCTTTATCTTGACTTCGAGGATACTAAAATCATTTCACACTGACCACCAATAACGTGACCCTCTCTCCAGGGAGGGAGATGGGGTTGAGGTGTTTATAAGTCACCTTTCGATAAACCAAATGGAAGTTACTGTGACTTTAGCCTTCTACTATTGCCTTCTGTCTGCCTGTCTGTCCACGTGCCTGTCTATTGTTCTAACAAGAAATGTCTATTGTGAAGTCCCTGGTTAGCAGTGTTGTGATCCTGTGTCTTGGACTCGTGCCTGCCTGGTCTTATTAGCAACCTGGCGTTTTACCTCCTTCAAGCACATGGGTACCCCCAAAGTCATTCCAGATTTTAAAACAGGATAACCCGAGTGAAGTCTAGAATCTGATCCAAGCAATGGGGAGGCGAGGAGCGGCACAAAATCATTCTCTCGGCACCAGATACGCATGTTCCAAAGCCTTTCTCCCAAGAGAAGCTCAGTATCTGATTCCCTTTGAGACCAGCCCCAGGATGTCCCAGCTAGAGACAAAGGGCCTGGGTCCTCCTCTATCTGCCCTCTGTGAAGGGATGGCTGTGGTTTTACTACACCTGTTGAGGGGAAGGAGGGAGGGAAGAAGAGAGGGAGGAGGGGAGGGGAAGGGAGGAAGATTCGAGGGAGGAGGGAAGGAGGGGAAGGAAGGATGGAAAGGAAGAAAGAGGGGCGGCCAGAGGAGGGTGAACAAGGAGGGGTGAGAGGAAGGGAGAGGTCGCCCAAGGGAGTATTTCTTAACCTCAGCATCCTGATGTTCCTTTTAGCACCGAGCAGGATTCAGGAAGCGGGACTCCAGCTTCATAAATTGAGTTGATATATTTCTGCTTTCCCTCTCCTTCTCGAAGTCACTAGGAACTGAACCAAGCAGTTGGAAATATTTTTTGAATTGTCAAAAATCACTAAATGGATTTCTGACAGCTCAAAAAAAATATTGACAGTTCTTTATGCTGAATGATTCACAAGGCCCCATTAACCAGCACCCCGGCTCTATTTTTAGCCACATACAATTTATTGCTTTTGAAGCCGTTAAAAACAATATTTAAAAGACGAATAAAGGGGTTTATGTCAGTCCTTTTCTTCTTCTTATTTTGTGGGGAAGCGAGGTTTAAGTCTTACAAAAATTGTTTTTAATCTGTTTTAAGTTTATGATTGGGGTGGTTTCTTTTTTCAATTGTTGTTTGTTTGGGGATTTTAAAAAAAGTCTATTTTCAGTTCTTTCAACTACCTACATAGGACCCTAGTTCCTGCCAGGAATCCATGCATCAGAAAAGATCAAAACCTGGCATGTTCATAAGCTCATTATTATTGAAATGAGCTCATATTACCCCTATTAATTTTCCCATCGTCCTATCAATGCTGCAGGAAAGCTGCCTGCCTTGGAGAAAGCTTGCCTCATGCTGTCCTTTCCCACCAGGAGGCAGGGGATGGGGTTCCGTGGTGGGGGTGGGGGGAGCATTCTCTGTCCTGTGAGCCATTTACCCTCTGGACACAGCGACCTGGGACAGGCCTGAGATACATCTGAGGATGTGTGGTGGAAACCTTGTTAGCGAATTTTGCAGCCACTGGGCCACAGACCCTGGAATGGGAGCTGTGGTCACTCTGTCCCATCAGGAGTGAGGACCCCTGGGCTACACAGGCTGAAAGGCACCCTGGTGGCTTCCTCTGCAGAAGTACCTGTTCCTTAGGTCCACCTTCCACTCATGGCAAGAGACCACAACCAAGTGTGGTCATAAGCAGAGCTTGAGTTCCACCTTTCATCGGTGCTTCTTCTTTCCTAGGTTTAAAGTAGGCACGTGAGTCCTCTCCTGGCCTTTGCCTTTAGGGCTGGTTGTAGGGCATTGCCCACTTGTCTTCCAGGATGGTCCCGACCCTGTCCAGTTCTCTTTGCCCTGCTCCCTTAGCTGGCCCACCACCACCCCAACCACCACCACCATTGTCTTATGTTCTTGCTGCATGCTGTGGCATCTCAGTGCCCAGTAGAGCCAGACCTCTCTATCCTTTGTAAGCCTTAAGAACTGTGAACATCTGTGAGAGAAAATAAGATCCACTAGGCTACTGCAAAATGGGCATTTCTTTCAAATAATGTGGCTTACCCTCAGTGCTAGATCTAAGCTTCAAACCTCCATCGATTTGACGTTATACAGTTAGAAGTGAGACTGGCACAAGGGATGAGATGCTCCTAATGTCCATTCCCTGTTCTCTATTCAACTAAAAGTGGATCGGGATTCCAACCTGGCCTACCAGGTCACTATCCGGCTTGTCCCTAAAAGCTGGGCCTTGCCAACCGAACAATTATTCCTATAATTCACATGTCAGATGGAGTTTGGGGTCTCATTTTATCTGCTTAATAAACCCACAATCCATTGCTTTGGCCCTTGAAATAAGCTTGAAGGAAGAACTGGTATCCGTTTCTTATGGAAGATCTCTATTCTCACAGGGTAAAGAGTGTTTGAAGAAGCATCAGTCAAAATCCTTGCTCAAATCCCGTAGACTCCCCACAGTCTCAGTAGCTTCTCTGCCGCACACTGTGGGCTGTATGAGATGGCATTTAACCCTAAGTCCACAGGTGATGTTCACAGCTTAGGCTTGACTTCCAGGCGTTTTCCTACATTCCGTGTGCTTAATTCCTTATATTTCAAAACTCTTGTTCTCCAATCCTTGGCATCATGGACCTGGTGTCTTGGGCCATTTTTTGCACTGCCTGTTCACATCCACATGCCCTTATAACGCTGGTGCAGAAGAGGAAGCCAATGAAGGAAGTGGCTGGCCTAGCCAGTTGAGTAGGGAGAGGCCTGTCATTTATGCCAACTTCAAGAACTTGTGCCTTCATTTTCCATGGAGGATAGAACTTTAGTCAAAGACATGTCACTGACGATCTTGAGGAAGAGATGGCTCTGGGTTGGCTTTCCACTGGAGCTCAGGGATCTTATTTCACAAGTGGGGGATAGTCCACGACAGCTGATCTCCATAAAACACTTCCCAGCCCCAGGCAAGGGGCACACTCCTTGATTCTGTTCGTTGACTCCAGTGCCTTCAGGGCACCTAGGTGTAACCTTGTTTGGCTAAACTGGGGTTTCCCTTCATGATTTAGATGAGTGTTTCAGCAGGGCGAGGGCAGAGCCTGAGGAGTGTTTGTGTCCAGTGCCAACCACACAGCCCCTTGTCTAGTCTGAGAACCTTTGATGGAATGTTGTGTCTGTTGGAGAACCAAGGAAGACGTCGAAGCTTCCGAGTTCACAGAGAGAGGGCGGTAGCTGGTGGCACAGCACCCAGGCTTCTGGCTGGCCACACAGGTCAAATATCTGAGTTCACTCCAGAGTTGGGGAGACTGCAGGGCAACTAGATCATCTTCATCCGTGCCTTTCTAAGCGGACACAGCTGGGACTCGGGACTGCGGTGAATTGGGTCTATGATCAGGGCTTGCTTCATGCCCTCTGAAAGCCCAGGATAAGGTCCACGGGTGCAGACTTAGATGCAGGGCAAAGCAGAAAGATCAAGCATCTGTTACCTTCGACAAGAGACCTGAGACCCCATTGAATGCTCAGCAGAGGCAGTTGGGAAACATGTACTCCTAAGCGGAGGCCGGCCAACTTTCTCTGTCAAGGGCCAGATGGCAAAGACAGTAAGCTTGTAGGTCCCATGATGTGTCAGAAGTACCCAACACTGCCAGGGAAGCAAAGAACAGTCACAGACGATGTGCGAACGGTTGGCTATGGACGATCTCAGGTGACGGATCTGTCCCAGGGGCTGCTGTTTGCTGGCCGACCCTGCTCTAGTGTAAGGTGTCTGCCCCTCTCCTGAGGGTACAGATGGTCATCACACCAGGCAACTAGCCAAGGTGCTGGAGGTTGGAGTCAGAAGAGAAGCCTGGCATCTCCTCATGCACGAAAGCAGCCCTGGAGCCAGCTGTGGACCACAGCCTCCTCTGACTCGCCCAGGGCACCCTGAGCAGAACCAACTTGCCGGCAGCGGCTTTCCTTCCAGGACGGAGGCCTGTTTCTATGAAGGAACCCCCTCTTTACAGCTGTGGGTTCTGCCAGAGCTGAACATGTGAGTGGCGACTCATCAGCCCAGATGCGTCCCAGTGTGCCTGATTTTATTTTTGGCCAAAGACGTTTCCAGAATGCTTTCCCCCCTGACTTGCCCTCTCCCCACCCTTGCCCAGGAGAAGAGGCACGAGGCGGAAGGGGCCGGAGTTCAGTCATGGTCCCTCTGCCAGCTGGCTCTGCAGAGGCTCGGGAGCAGCTCTGGGTTGACAGTCTGCGCTCTCATGGAGGTGGGCATCTACAGGACAATGAGGACATAAAGAAATGAGGGTGCCACCTGAACATTGTGTGGCTGCAGTGAGAGCCCTGTAGCTGAAAGGATGAAAGCTAACCACC